TCCTCCGTGAGGAAACCTAGGCCTTCTCTTGAGCAAAATGAGAGGCTCTTGTTGCTGAATGCAGCAAACAAATCCACCTGTGGGAAACCCACCTTTGGAATATCCCGTGAAGAATGAGAGTCCAACTCCTACTCATAGTCCTGGAAGAAGTGCCTGTGGTGCGTATCTGCTGTGAGATTCTAGGCTCCAGGAAAGTAAATTGCAGAGATCTGGATCAGATGTGTCATACATCAATTCCATAAATGTATAGCTTTGGTGCACAGGGAGAGGGATCTTGCTACTCCTTGTTGAAGAATAACATGCAAGCCACGTTGCCTATCATGATCCTAACTAATTCATCTTTCAGGAGGGTAGGAACTGAAGGGAAGCCTACTAATTGCCAACTACCTACAACAGACTGATTTGAAGACTTGTTTCCTAAAACTATCATCTGCCCTGATCTGTGAATGTATTAATCCCGTCCATGCATACATTGTGTCTCAGTTATTGTCATAGCTGAGCAGAGGAAAAGGATGCCAATGAAAATACTGCATCGATCCTTCCATCAATCCACGAAGTTCTTTACTTGAAAGGGAACTGTAACCAGTTTGTCCAGCCTGTCCCTAGTTGAGAAACAAGTTCTCCTGAACCAGCCCTGAGAACATTAGAGGTATAATCTTGCAAGCTCAGTCATGAAAACATGCTGTCCAGCATGGATAAAAGAAGATGATTTAAAAAAATTAATTAAAAAAATTAAAAATAATATTTGATTTAAATCAGATGTTATTTTTAAAGTTATCAATAAAATACTAAATCTTTCATTTAAAAATAATAGTTGCAATTTAATCTCATAACAAACATGCTGCACTTACAATAAAGTTCCATAAAAAATGAATTAATGGTTCTAGTCTGTCCATCTTAACGACTAGCCCTTGTTTCTTGTAAGTTTTGGACTTTCCATTTCTGTTTCTCATGCAGACTAAAAAGTAGCATGTATAAAGAAAGAAACAAGCTAGATAGGATTGTTTTAGTTCTGTTCTTATGTGGTGGTGGTGGACATTGGCCAACCATGGCAGAAGAATTAAGGCACTTTCTTAAGACACAGAGACAATATATAGCAAAGGACAGAGGCAGCATAAAAAGAAACAGTGGAGTAGACTGGAAAGAAAAAGGGAAGCCATTATTCAGCACACACGGAGCTTCTTATATTCTCCCACAGTTTTGCCACAGAAAAGCTGTTATGGCTTCTGGGCATAAGACCAACCCAATCTGGGAATATCGTGAAGCAATTCGTTCCCTAGGTAAAAAAGGAAAACAAGTCAAGCAACACAAGAAGATGAGGCAGGGCCTAGCTGTAAGCCATAACGATTAATTAAACTAAACTTTTTTTTTCTAGCAACACCCAACATAGCAAACAGCTTAGGAATTTACTTGTCAAATCACAATTGCACTGAAAGGCAGAGAAAGATCCACTCAGTCATATCCACATCTTCATCCATATAATCCTTATGGCTTGTTTAATTAGTTAACTAAGTTTAGACTCTGTCACCCAAGTATACAATATAGAAAGCTACAGCAAGAGAAATCTAGAGTTGCCAACTTTCCCAAGGGAACCCAATTCTATATTTGTTTTCTCAAAAAACAGATGTGTCAGTGAATTCAATGGGGCTTACTCCACAATTAAGTGCACTCTAAGCACAGTCAGTCTTTGCTTTTTTGGTAACTTGGAATTGGATCTGCATCCCTGCTGAAAAAAATGTAAATGATTAACTGAATAATAGAGTGTGAGAAGAATAGAGAAGAATGACTATTCAAAATCATTTTTTAATTTTGTTTCAGGATCCCATTTAAGCATAAAGACTTAAAACTACCTATCTGCTACAACTTAACGGTCATCCATAAGTATTTTTAGCAGCAGTGCAGCAACTAAACATATTTCAGATAATAAAGTGTGAGTAGCATGCAAAAGATTTGAATCATCCAGGAAAATCACCACCATGAATAGGTTTGTAGTAAGGACCAGGTAATACGAACAAGACACCATAGATGAAGACTGCTCAGTTCATTAATGCCGCAAATTCTCCTTTTCATATTGTTAACAACAAACAGCTATATTGACATGATTGTGTCCTTATGATCACGCTACACTCCACCTGGTAGAGCAGACACTGGCAGAAGGAATATTAGAAGGAACAATGTGCAAGAAATACTGAGGGTATATTTGACAGTTTGATGAGTGGAGCAAGGTACACAATGGTCCAGTAATATGTGCCTGTGACACAACAGAAGATGGGGTTGCATATCTTTCAGAAACAAGATACATTGGGAAATGCCTGAAAAAGAGAATATTTTTTAAAAATGGCAGTGCAAGCTGTAATCAACTGTGGACAAAACTTCAGTTGCCAAGTGCAGTTTTTTCCACAGACAACGCTGCAAATTTAAGTATCATCCTTCCATTTCTTCGCTAAGTATCTTTGCCATATTTGCAACATTTTCTGTGGAAAACGATAACATATGGCTGCAGTGCCCATTTAATGCATCTTTTAGCCAAAAACTTAAATGTCTTTTCCAGGAATAAAAGAAAATGTTGAAGTCACAAAATTCTTCTGTAACAACCATTTTGCTTCAGCTTCACTGAAGAGAGGAGGAGGATCCAAACTAATTCTCCTGCAGAATGTTTGATGGAATTTTGTGGTTGATTGTTTTGAACGATTCTTCACAAATTGGCATATTGTCATAAAATTTTATGAAGAAACCCATGATTAATTGGTGGAAGTATTTCATCCCAAGTATCTAACACTGGATTAGAGATGAATGTAGATTATCAGTATGATGAAACCTATTATCCTTGGATTTAAACAACAGAGAAATTTCTGCTGTATTGCTGATTATTTGGAAGG